AGGTTGTGTACTTTTGTCCAACTGCGCAATCTTGCTTTTATAAAATATACTAACATTTTAATGTTTAATGATTAACATGCTGTAATACACAGTTTAAAATTAAAAGTCTAAAGAGTATACAGCTTAAATTCTTAATTGGATGAAGATTGTCCCTCAGCAGTGATCGGGATTCGAAACCGGGTGTTTTCTGGTGACAGCTCAAATGCTGTACATGAAAGGTTAAATTTTATTAGCTCCACCTGGCAGTGATTCCGGATACTATTAACATAATTTGCATAGTACAGCGTGTTATGACATGTTTAATTGCGACACGCCTACGCGTGGTCTCGCAGCATACACCGCTCGTTTTGAATGGCTGCATCTGCAGCTGGATACAATTTTATCTTGTCTCAAGAAAGCAAAAATTCAGATATTTGACAACATATCTACTAAAATTATCCATCTCAGTAATCTCACTGTACGCTCATTTAATGTTCACACTTCCAGTAAAATAAAAAACCCATTTTCCACATTATCACCTCAGACCAGGGGGGAACGAAAAGTGCAAGCTGTCATTTGTTTCCACTCTCTATCACCCCGCTCAACCCCCTTGGAAAGACAAAGTTGATTAAAACTCATTGAAAGGGTGCGATGTGTTAAGACAAACTCTGCTTAACAGAGCCACTTGTTAGAGCAAGGTGGCTTTCTGCTCAATTAAATAAACCTACATAACAGACAGATTTTAAATTCTTCAAGCAAAATTAGCTGTTTGTCAAAATCTTCTACTCTGCAAGCAGTACACGACTACTCAAAAGGTACCTTTTGTCTCTCATGCAAACTTGGCAAAGGTTTATTTTTTATAATTCCGAAAACTGAACAATATACTTCAGGGACTCATTGTAGCAAATATGGTATGCAAAGGAAAACCAAAATACTGCCCCCTCTCCCAGCCGGGACTGGCCTCCTGCTGTTCCAAAGCCCTATAGTTTCAAAGTATGTGTGAAATATCTTTTCTTGCTCCAGTTATTAATCCAATCTATTTTTACTCATCCGGCTATGAAAAAAATATAGCCAAAAGGATCGTTGTAAAGGTTAAATTTCAAGCTGAAAAGACAAGACTCAATGTGTCTTCTCTAACTCTTCAGTTTACAGCTCGTCCATGGTCATTCAAAATTAATATTGCAACGAACAGCAGACATACAAATGTTACAAGCCGGTTGCAGCGTGGTGACAGTACAGCCCTCTACTCCCCTGCGCATAACAGGGATGTTGCCTGCATAGGCTGAAGAAGGTCTTCTGTCGTTCAGCTGGCAACACCTCTATGGAGCGATGCAGGAGACCTGGGTTCGATCCCATGTGGTGAAGGATGAACCAAGACAGGAGCAGCGAGAGCACAAGCCCAAGAACACAAATTCATTACAATATTATAAATAATATATTCCTTATTGCATTTAAATTGGAATGTTTTTACAAATATATGAAGAGGTGATACACAACATGTAAATGTAACCCTTTTCTCTCCTTTAGCTTATAAAATTAAGTGAAATCACGAAACCATCACTTATAATAACTCATCCAAATACACACACTCACACCGTAGCCAACAACAAGCTATAATAGTGGACTATTTTTATATATTTTATATATTTGGCTATGTAAGAAACAGTTAATTGCCTATTACCTCTACAAGGATAAAATATATATATATATTTTATAAAACAAATGTCAAATGTTTCCAAAATGTCTCCTTGTGATATTTTAACTGCTTAATTACACTACTCCACATTAATATTACTACCAAGAGGTATAACATCAGTACAACTTTTATGAAGTGTTTTTTAACCATCTAAACCAGTTTTTTACAGCTATTAAAGTCATGCAATGTTTGAGTTAGGCAGGAACACGTTATTGTATCTTATTTTCGATTTCGTTTTTTTAAAAATTAAAAAAATCATGTTGATAAGCTGTTCCCCGATTACTGGTTATTATGAAAAATAATCCTTTCCCCCTCCCTCATTCAATTTTAAGATTTCCATGAAGAAATCCTTAAACACAAAACCATCGCGTATAATAATTCATCCAGCTGGCTCCCTATTGAATGACGCTGATGGACCAGGTTCAATTTCAGGTGGCGTACTATATAGTAAAGTTTAAATTTTTTAATTCCAAGTTAAATTGTTGTCTGATTACTGGCTGCTTACATTTGGATTAAGACTAAATATAGGTTTTCTCAATTTGGGTGTAAACCTGAAAGACACATCAAGTTCACAGTAAGCTATAATAGTGGGGTATTTTTATGCATTCTACTATATGAGAAATAAACAGAAAGTAATGCTCTGATTGCTCTTTGAACCACCTGGCTGCAGCTCGCTACATTGCAGTGCTCATTACCACTACAAGAACAATAGACTGTTTTTTTTTAAAGAAACAAATGTCAAAATGTTTCCAAACTGTCCACTTGTGATACTTTATCTGCTTAGTTACACAATTCCATATTAATATAACTATCAAGTGATGTAAAATCCCTACAACATTTATCTTTTTACAATAACAGCAAGTGGTGTTCTCACTATGTATTCTTAGAAAAGGATAAAACGTTATAACTTTTTATGAAGTACAGAATATAATCTTAATGATGTTATAACAAGCACGTTAAAACCAGAACCCACTGTAAGTTACCAAGTTAAAGACTTTGATGTAAGTAAAATACTTACGCATAATTAAATTATTTATGATGAAGGTGGAAGGTTGTGTACTTTTGTCCAACTGAGCAATATTGCTTTTATAAAATATACTGACTTTTTCATGTTTAATAATTAAAATGCTGAAATACACAGTTTAAAACTATTAAAAGGCTAAAGAGTATAATACTTAATTCCTTTATTGGAAAAAGATTGTCCCTCAGCAGTGACCAGTATTCAAAATTAGGTGTTTTCTGGTGACAGCTCAAATACTGTACATGAGACGTTAAACTTTATTAGCTCCACCTGGCGGTTTTGCAAGGTGCTTCCAGATGCTATTTTCCTATTTTAAAAAAACATGCGGTTTTAACGCAGTGTACCTCGCTCATTTTGAATAGCTGGATCTGTATATTTGTCAGTTATGTACAGTTTGTATTTAGGATATGTGAGGTACACTTTGCATTTGTATGGTTTATGTATTTGTTTTTTTTTTGTATTGTGAATTTAAAATGAACCTCTTTCTTAAAACTAGAAAAAAAGGTTTCACTCTAAACATGACTTGGTGATTAAAAAATACAAAAAAAATATTATAGACAAAAAGTTACAAAAAAGTGGTAAAAACCAGAGGAATACTAGTTTAGGGATGGTGACATGCTAATAACCTCTTTACAGAAAAGGAAAGCTGCTGCTCTGAGCTAAACATGCAAAAATAATCTAATAAAAAATGCAAAGATAGAAATCTAACTATTAGAGAGACATTTAAATTCTCTCTGGACTAGCTGCCTGTATAATTTACATGTACATTACACACTTAATTTGTACTTAATTAGTAATTAATTAATACACTTAATTAGTTCATAATCTGCTATACCGCATCAAGAATATATGGTGTAATTTCAAAACAAGTTTATGTGAAATTTCATTTGTGTACAGAAAGTTATTTAGTAAGTAATTTCATAAATTATCTTACCATACTTAGTCATTGTGACTATTGGTTCAGTTAACTCATTTTTTAGTGGAGGCCCAAGCCTAAAATGGACTGTATATTGAAATGTTATGGCTTATTTTACTAAACTTGTAATTGGAAATCTGAGTTTTATGTGTGATTGAACTTGTATCATTTTCTAATCACTTGATTGAATTCAGGGTTGCTGGGGAGCTAGAGTCTATCCCAGCAAGCAATAGGCACAAAGCAGGGTACACATCTTTCTCCATACTTTTGCCTTTTCATCACCTTGATCAAGTTTTATCTTCATTTTGTCTGTACTGTATATTAAACTTTGTTCCAGAACTGTTGTGGCTCATCTTTGTACTTTTTTGCAAATTCGAATCTAGCCTTTCTGTTTTAAGTACTGATGAGAGGTTTCAAGTTGCTGTGTGGTGCAGAGTTAATATAGATACTTTTACCACTGCACTGTGGAGATTGTTTGCTATCTCTTTCTTTAGCTGATATCTTATGGATTTTCTTTATAGCTCTAATGATTTTTCTGTCATAAACTGCTATTGTCTTCCTTAAGTGACCTGTTTTTAGCTGATTGCCTACTGCTGCAGTAGTTTCTTTGTTTTTCAAGACATTCCACATTGTGGATCTACAGTTGCCTAATCTCTACAATGGATCTTATTGGAATTTTCCCTTATTTTTACATTTGCTTGCTTTTCCATCACAGACAACTCTCTATTCTTCATTTTGGTTTGTACCTTCTACTTCAATGGGCACCCCAAAAAGTAAACACAAATGTCTGGACCAAGGCGTACATTCATAGGTCTTTCATGTTTTTAAAATTAAAGCAATATGGAACACATGAGCAATTAGAAAATTGTTATTGTCATTGTTCTAACATGGTTAGATATGTATACAAAATAATATTCAGAAGCAAAAGCTGAAATTCTATACTTATATACTCACATTAATACTTTAATTGAAATAGAAATCTCCTTAGACCACTGACAAAAAAGGCTAATTTCACTTCACTAATGTGTAACATATGTCTCTATCAATACTGCTGTTGACCAGTTAGTCCTAGATTTTTGAAAATTATTTTTTAGGCAAAATGAAGACTTTTTTCTGATGAATTATTTTCTCTGATGGACTGAAGTGTGGTACTGAAATCAATTGGTAATACTAATTAAAAAACACATTGCCCCATTCAGTTTGTATGCATAGAGAGAGGTCAGCAAATTTGATTATCTGATATCTTAGAGGAATAAGACTCTCATTAATTAGCTGTTCACTAGATTGATCATAGTTAATTCAATTAACTATGAGCTGTGTTAATGTATTTGAGCTGTATAAAAATTATGAAGCTGTCACATTATAGTTTTTATATTCTTGCATTGCAGGATGTTGACATGCATTATGAGGTCACAAACACTCCTGCCATGGCACGTACCTCCAATCTCAATGAAGAACTCGGGCAGGTATTTCACTCGTACTTCTCAATTACACCCATTCCCCAGGTTACATAAGGTTTCATTATAGCCTTGCCTTTATGCAAGTCTTAAGGTTGTGTCTAGTGGTATTAAATCAGTATTACAACTTTTTTCACAACAATAACAGCAGCCAAGCACAGTGCACTTATTATGTATTCTTAGAAAAGAATACAATATTATAACTTTTTTTGAAGTATATAAACTTAATATAGTTAGAACAAGCATGTTCAAACTTTTTCAAAATAACCACTGTATGTTACAGTGTTAAAGACTTTGATGCATAAAATGTTGATGAACAAGGTGGATTACTGTTCTGTACTTAGTTTTTTACATTTAGCTACCACTACCATCTATTGTATGTACATTAGGTATATATTGCATGAGACCATATGGCTTTAAAACTACTACAGTGCAATATGTGTACAATATATTTTTCATAATCAGAATTTGAAGTTAAATTAATCTTCTGGTTACTTGTTGCTGAACTATTCATTAAGATAAAATATAGATCATCTCAATGTGTATTTTAAACCTGAAAGGAGCACATTGTGCTCACAACAAGCTACAGTATAATAATAAACTATTTTTATATATTCAACTGAGTAATTTTGTTTTTGTAAAATATCCCTACTTTTTTTAAATTCATGTATCATATTGTAATACTGTGTTCATACTGTATTACATACAATCATACTGTGTTTAAAATTAATAAAAGTCTAAACAGTTCATAACTTAAATAATTGGAAAAAGATTGTCTCATGGGGCTAAACATTGACTGGGATTCAAAACCAGGTGTTTTCTGGCGACAGCTCAAAAGCTTCCACGTGTCACGTTAAGCATTTACTGCACCACCTGGCAGTTTTACAAAATAGAGCATTCCGACAACAAAATATTTTAAGTGTAGTGCAGTATGTTACACAAAGGTGTGTACACTGTGAATTGCTGCATTATCCAGCACGCATTCTGAATGCCTGGATCTGTAAGGCTTTTCATAACCAGAATGTTACGTATGTTGGAAACAGCCCTTCTTAGCTCTTGTTTGAGCAAATATAGAGAATAATTATTCAGTATAATGCAGCAGACCTCACTGGGATGAGAAAGGGATGAGGGACTGGAGAGTAGGACTGCAGGATCATCAGGGTTTATGGTCTTTTACTGGTTAACAGGTCTGTGTGCTAATTAGGGAGCATTTAGCAGTATATGAAGTAGAGAAAATAAACTTTCCCCATTTATTAAGGCACAGAGAAAATAAATAATGATGGAAGAACAAAATAGCTTTACAGGTCATTTAAACCCTCTAATCTGAACACCAAAAGTGCACCAAAAACATGCACTTAAAATATACAGTACTTTTGACTTTAATCCTGAATTCATTACCCTGAACTGTACTGTTCACAACAAATAAAACGCACAGTAAATAATTGAAAAATTAAATCACTGGTGTGCTTACAGGACATAATTGCAGGTTACTCACAACTTTTAGGAAATATTCAATTCAATTCAAAATACATGTGCAAAAAAAGAGAAACTGAAAGTATAATGAAGGCTTAGGTGTGACTGTGTTATGCATACACTGCACTAATAAACCATTGAAGAAACTCACAGCACAACGTGATTCTTACATACTGTATGTAAACGTTCTGTAATTTGAACATTTTATTATGGGACTCATTGGATGTTTTTTAACTACAGCCAGAATGGTACATATGAGCTGCAAAGATTTTATCACACAGATTATTTGCTCCCTGACCGATTTCCTTACTTTGAGCTAGTAAGAATGGACAATAACAACTGAAGCAGAAACATTTTCACACTTAGGTTGTTCACATATAATAGGGTCTGGAAGTCACAAACTCGAACAGGGAAGTACATCTGAAAAGACCTAATAGCCTTGTATATAAGTGTTATTATTGCAGTACCATTTCAGCAAAGCAATGCATTCATTTTTTTTTAGGTCAAATATATATTTTCAGACAAAACTGGGACTTTGACTTGCAATGTGATGCAATTCAAGAAATGCACAATAGCTGGAGTTGCCTATGGGTAAGTTTATATATTTGGTTTGATTTTACAAATGTTTGGTGCAAACTTCATTATTATTGCATCTGATCTTTTAATTATGCTTGTTAGTGTGTCTCACATGAAACAGTCCATATGAAATTTACTTTCCTTTTTTCTTTTTAAACCTTATAGTTTTGGGACAGTAAGATTCCTGTATGTAAATTTAGCAGGTTTAACCAGATCACTAAAAAGCTTGTGAATATACAAACAAGTTTTTATTTTTTATGGAGAAGAAACAATATATTTTGGATAGTACATACTTTATTTCAGTGAAAAACATAATGGGTAACACAGAAAATGTATTCACTGCCTTTAAGATTTTCTAAAATTCTGCATATTGTTGCCACTGAATGTTATCAGAGCTTCATACTGGTCCTAGTGATGTATAAAGGTAGTCTGAATGAACAAATAACACCAAAGTTTAGTGCATCTTTCTTTAACAAAGTCATCAAACATCCAATGTCCCTGTGTGAAAAAGTGAAAAATCCACTTATTTCGGTACCCTTTCAATTCACTAACTAGTTGCACAACCTTTAACTTCAATAACTGTAACCAGACATTTCCTTTTGCTGTTCACTGTAAGGGAATTTTGACCCATTCCTCCAAAACAAAACAAAACACAACAAGAATATAGATACATATTTCTTATCTATATTAATGTTTTCTGTTTTACATCTTTATGTTTTGCATACATTGTAATGTAAATATGGATAAAAAATTCTAATTATCATTCTTTAAACTTGAGTTTAAATTATTTTCTTTATAAACCACTTGAAATAATTAAATTTATTTAGCTGTTTCAAAGTGTGTTGTTAAATTACTGTATTATGGTAAATTAGGTTACTAATTACTTATTACTTAATCCAACTAATTAACTTATTAAACTAAATTATTATTTAGTAAATCTGCAGTCTGCAGGATCAGTAAATATCAATCACCCCCAAACACAGTTATGTCAGCTCATCTGCTGGGAAACAGGTCAGTGTAACAGATCCTTAGATAGTTGTATAATAATATAATACTAGTATAGTAAGTGGAAACCTGCACATAAAACCCCCTTTTTCCTCAGGAGTTAAGGTGCAGATGGACCAATCCTGATGTCACTGAACCTAAGCAACCCAAATTTAGTCCATCTATTGCTTGTATCTACAAAATTCCTTGTGATAAAGCAAGCAGCACCTCTACTAGTTCAGTCTCATTTTGGCCGGTCTGCTCTTCTTTCTTACTGGTAGGCCAGCATAGCAAAGACTGAGAGACGCTGAGAGAGAGAGGGTTTATTATCTCAGAGTGAGCAATTTGTTTTACAGCAGCAGTGTTGATGTAGACAGACAGAAAAATAAAAATAAACAACAATGTACATACATATTTGGATAGAAAATCAAGTGTTATGTAAGGATTTGGCTACAGGTACAGATGCAGCCATTCAAAGTGCGCGGCACTAGCACGTACCGGGGGTAATTGGCTACGTCATCGCGCATCGTGATGCGAGATGACGTAAAATACCGCGGTACGTGCTTGGTTGTCTGACAGGGGCACTCGTGGTGCGTTGGTCGGTCGTAGAAAGATTTAAATGTCTTTACTGTGCCCAGTGAATATTGAATATTTATATAGAATTTTACCACTGAAGGGAAATCTTAGTAGCTGAGCATAAAAAGAATAGGAGCATACTGTAACGCATGTGAAGGCCATAAACTATATTAATTTTGGAACATAAACATACAGTATATGGCTGGTCTACACATCAGTATTCCATTTCTCCCTAAACATTTTAAGCATCGAAGTCTTTAACTAACGTGATACCGGAGTCAACAAGCATACTTTTAGAATTTGATAAAAAGGGAATATAATATGGAATCGCACATCTAAAGAAATTAATAACGATATAATTATATTCATGTACCGCAACACAAGAATAGTACACACTGTATGATGTCTATTGATAATGTTTCTGTAGGGCTTTTTCAACACTCCTCCTGTGGGCGCTGTGGGTTAGGTCACCGACTTACACATCGGACATTGGGTGTTCGAATCCAGCCGGAGCCATTACTTTTTTTTTAACAAACATTTCTTTGAAAAAATAAAATAGGGTTAGTGTTAGGGTTACTGTCAAACTAAATCAACAATTGATTTTAGGACGATCTGTCAAAGTGCAATGAAATACAATTTGTATTGTTGTTGTTGTTATTGTTGTTTTTATCCTGTAAAGCAACTTGAGAAGCCACCTTTAAAGGCGCTATATAAAAGCGCTGATTCTCATGGAATATGTTTTCTTTCTTCTTTTTTTCAGCATGGAATAAACCTATTACTTGATTCTTATGGATTCCCGGTTCCGCCGGGGATTAAAAAAAAAAACACATGGAATCGCGTATCTAAGGAAATAGCAGTATAAGCTTATTCATGCACAAACAGTGGCATGTTACATTATTAATTTGGGTGTCTCCACTTGCCAGAAAGCTCTCAATTGCATTTTGAGTGCGTTTTTTTACTTTTTTTAAATTACAACCCATAAATAAAGCTGATACTGTTTAGACTTTTAATTATATAAAACTGTATTACAGCAGCACAATGCACAATGCAACGTAAATCGCTATCTTTGTCTTCTGTGTAATAATGTTTACCTCTCTGTCCAGCAAATTAACAATAGTAATAATAATGAACTTTATTGTATATAGCGCCTTTAAAGGTGGCTCCTCAGTGCGCTTTACAGGATAAAAACAATAACAACAATACTGTTAGGCTGGGCAAACGATTTTTAATTTTTTTTAAAAATGAAATAAAAAGTGAGATATAATGATGTGTTCCGGCTTAGACATTAACAAAGAGCATAACGAAGGTCATAAAGGTCATAAACGATATTAATTTTTGAACATCAACATATTATGTAAACTGTATGTTGCTGTTATTGGTATTTTAAAGAAAAACTGTAAAATCCTGGGTTTGGAACAATGTTTCAGGCATTCATGTGAAGGACAACAGAGCTTTCAGTGGCCGATTATCAAACTTTATTGATAAAACAAAAACAAAAACTATCCGACCAAACCAGAAAAAGAAAAAAAGAATAACGGACACAGCGCGAGCCTGCATTCTCTCCTCAGCCGTCCACACCACACTTTTCCCTGGGTCAGAGATTAAATAAAACTTCACTCTCACCAAACAAATTACCACACATTGAGCACTGAACATGTTCACCCAAATATGTCTCACAATACTTTTATGGTACATTACTTTGCTAAAATGTATTTAAAAATAAAAATGATTACAAACGCCAGCAGAGAGACACACACACAGTTCTTCATTGTCAAAAAGTAATTATATTTTACTTTGTCAGCACCCAGACAAACGCAAACGCGTTATTAATGAAATGCTTTTATTCATTCTTAATCGAACTCACAAGTTGTCATCTGTTGTTGAAGCTCTGTGAGACTAGACTCACACATGGCTAGACTTGACTAACCATGAGGTTATGTTTATGTTTATTAATCTTCCTTGTTATGCGCTGAGAATGATAAGCACCCCAAACACGAGGGCGGCGTAGCGGTCGGCTCTGGCTTTCCCATTTATACCGATGCACTGCAAGTACAACCCCCCCTCCTTCTCTTGAGTGATGGGCAACAGTTGGATATCTGGGGGAATTGTTCCCAAAAGCAAAACATATTGATGTGCATTCGCCTGGCGCAGTGCAGTTTTCATCACTCTATGCGGGAGTGCTGGCTGTGACGAATTAAACCGGTTCACATGTATTTTCAAAGTAGAAGGGGGTGAGATTTCCAGCGAAAGACACTTACTCGTTAAGAAAGCTTGAGTTTACAGCTTGTCAAGGGTCATTCATTATTAATACTATTAGTAATATCTTCGTTAAAGACTTTGATGGCGACAGCTCAACCATGAGAGGTTGAGCTTTATTAGCTCCACCTTGTGGAAATTCTGTATACTATTACTGGTGGTATTATGAGGTACTATACGAGAATTTACGGTAACTCGCGGTAGGCTGCGTCAAGCGCACCGCAAAATAATGCGGTATCGCCTGCTTGTTTTGAATGGCTGCATCTGTATGAATGAGAATTTAAATGTACTGGTTTTGGAGTTGGGGTGGCGGTATCTGCGTTCAGATGGGAGTAATTGGAATTCATTTAACAAGAGGTGAAGGATCATCACAGATGGATTTTGCTTTACACATGATAGATAGATGATAGATGGTTGAGAGGGAAAGAGGTTCAGCACCAATGACCTTCTGACATATTTACAAAAGGCTGCCCAGTTTGTTCCTACCTCTCAGATTCAGGATGCCAAACCAGCAGATTAAGGTAAAAGTTAGAACAGATTCAAGGAAGGACCGACAGAACAAAATCAACAGTGAATGATCAACTTTAAGCTTAAGCTTTCTTAAGAAGAAAAGCCTTTTTTTAAGGATCAAGTCAGTATTGGCTTCAAAATTGAGCTTGGAGTCAATTATCATATCTTGGTGTTTGACACATTTAACTTGAGAAAGTTTTGTTCACACCAGGTGGCAAGCTCATCAACAATGGGTCCATGGCTCCACTGCTTGCAGCAGGCTAACAATGTCAAAATTGTCTGTAAATTTGATTATGTGTCTTGAGTGGTGAGAGCTCTTGCAGTCATTTGTGTATAGTACAAAGACTACGGGAGACAATAGATATCCTTGAGGGGACCCAGTAAAGGAATGCTTTTTGTTAGATAAAATGCTTCTGCTTGGTGTAATCCTTCCTTTATTTACTCTAACTTTCTGTCTCTTTTCTTTTCTCACCAAAACCGTATAATCTGTACCCTTCCATTTTCAACAAGAGTCTCATCCTGTGATACAGCTTCTCACTGTAAAGATTCGGAGAATAGACAGTAGCTGTCTACCCAGGGTTCAGTTAGAACCTTGGAGTCTATAAAAACAAATTAATTTTCACTGTCAGATTAATAATTAAATTAGCCACAGCTGCTTGCACATGTTCAAACAAAAATTGAAAATATAT